ATGAAAATCGGCCCGATTATGATCGGTGACCGATCGATCGGCACACCTCTACTGCTAACAGTTTATTTTTGTTGGGAAGAATCATGGTTTCTGTACTTAGACAAACATTAGACAGAGGCGTTTTACTGTGTGCAAATTTTTAATTATTCTTTGTCCCAAAGCAATGAATTCCAACATTACAGCTGTCTTTATTATATATGCTTTAAATGTTTTCCCAATGACATTTACTAGCCAAACTAAAATCTTCAATTTAGCGGAGAGCTAACATATTACAAAACACAGTCATTATTTTAACTTAGCCACAATATACAAGAACAGCATGGAACGCCTAAACACAAAACAGCAAGTCTAAATTCAATAAATATTCTTGTGGATGGATCCATAACCATTAATATAGAACGTGACAAAAACAACTCAGGATACACTAACTGACTGCAAAACTAGCAGGGCAACTAGCATGTTAGCACCAAATTGCTATCACTCTCATCATTTCCCTCTCAAAACAGAGTCTACATAAACCAGTAAATTTTATATCAAATAGTATTTGTTAAAAACTATGTGATAATCTTAACTGTGGTGCTTCATAAACTTTACCAACATGTAATTAAACAATGTGTTATTACAAAATTAGGGCTGGCTTGTTCTGGCTAAGAGACTTCAGGGATTCTCTGCCACCTTGTGGTTTGCCTCGGTACAACATGGCCACTCCACATTCTTTACCCATCTGTTTCTTGCGCTTCCACTGTACAAGCTGTATATGTACTTAGAAAATATATATGTCTGTATATGTCTTAGAAAATACATTTGTCTTTTATCTAACAAGGTCCTTTTACTGGCAAAGTTCTACTGATGCCAGAAAATTTTAAGGAGTTCCTTAATCAGAATTCCACTGAAAACATAATTTTTGCTTAATTCTTTGTTTCAATGTATCATTTGGGTTTAAAATGCAACCCTTCTGAATGTATCATTCCTTTTTCATTTGCAGCTTTTGTGTTTGTGCAGATGGGGTTGAGGCACAATACGAACACTTCAAGCCAGTCTAGTGTAGCTTGCACTGCTCTGAACTGAAATATTGTTCTAAGTGGGAGTCGAAAACAACGTTGGCTTTGGTTCATTCTGTGTAGCAAAATCCTGGCTTGTTTCACACTTCATAAAGCCAACCGTGTTTGGCTCTGGCTGAAGAATATTTAGACTTGCTGTTGTTTGTTGCAAGTGTGCGAGCCAGAGTCTGCAGCCTTTCGCCAGTTCACTGTGCAAGATAGAGAACACAAGCTGGCAGGCCACAGGGTTTCTGGGAAAGTTACAACATAAAGCATTAGCAAGATGGAAACATCCGGCTGATGGCTTTTTTTTTCTCCCTGCTCTAGTCTGGATTGCATAATTTGCCAAAAAGACAATTTTATCCCTTGAAAGAAAACCCAACAAGAATCAAGATTTTTACTGAAGAGGAGAGGAGTCCCCAGGAGGAAGGAATTCATACTGAAGCATTCCTGTCAGCATTTCTGTTGCTCTTAATGTGAGGAAAAACATTGCGTCCCTGCCACAGCAAAGGTCACCTTAACACCTGCTGGGTTTGTTTTTGTTACTAAGAACATAAATGCCATCTTCATACCTAGCTGGCTGCCTTACAGTCTGAAAAATGAGACGCAATCAGAAAATAGACATCAAAAACACAAAGACGCTTGAGTTTTAAATGGACATTAGATAACATACTGAGTTCATATTTTAAAAAGAAAGAAGAGGTGAATTATCTACCTGTTTCTTTGTGAGTTTTTATCAACTGAAGAACATTAAGTTAAATCCAAATTATTTATATTCTGTGAAAGTCTTGGTTTAAAGTTTTTCTTTAAACCCATTTTTTTTTACTTACTGTTTTCCTGCAGGTGGTAAAAGAAGCAAAAAATCTTCCAAGTTTTTGTCAGTCAGCAACTAGATGGTTATAACTGGATAACCTACCAGAATTAAAGCTGTATTTTCTTTCATTTCTTTAGTTAACGACACAGAGGAAGTTGGGCCTCTGCAGGCTGTGAACATCAGCAACCCTAACACCACCAAGTGGATCCTGCATGAATTAGAGCCTCTGACCAAATACAAGTTGTATCTTCGCTCCTGCACTGCGGTTGGCTGTGGGCCCGTTGTCAGCGAGGAGAGCACCACCGCCCTGGAAACAAGTGAGTGACAGACGATAGCTGCATTGCCATTACAAATGTGGGCAAAACTTTGTTGATATTCCACAAATGTTGGAAAAACACAATATTGCATTTGTAGTGTTTCTATTCAATAGGAAACACAATTAAAATCACACATGAATAAGTTTGTGATAAGCAGTGGTGGAGAAAGTACTCAAAAAATGTACT